GTGGCAGAACAATATAAAACCATTGCTTTGCAGACAGAATCGTTCATCGTTAGATACACAGGATTGGATGGGTACTGGAAGTTCGGTTCTATTCACAGTTTCATCAAAACGTCTGTCCACTGAAATTGTCTCCTGGGGTTGTGCTTATGTAGAGGTACAAACTTAGCAATAATCAAAGAAGTTCGCGTTGATGAGGTTTTCATGACGAGAGGAGCTCATGTAATCGTTTCGACTCATCACTTCTTTCGCGAATACCATGCAACTGAGAATTTTCTGGCTCTCCCGGTTAAGTCCTTAGAAACAATGTGTGTTCAAATAAAAATCGACAATGAATTGCATATTGGGATTCCCACCAATCGAATAGAATTGGAATAAATCTATGTAATTTTTTATAAAAACGTTGAATGTGTGTTTAAACTTCGGGCGATGACTCCATGTCCATCAATTAATTTTTCTACTTCGAAACTTGAGTTATTTTCAAAATGTTCTCCCTTGTCTGGGGTAGGAACAAGAATTTTTTTTTCCAAAATTATAGGTCTCAAACTGAATTATCAATCATTTTTATTTTTATTCATTTTCAGTTGCAAGTTACCTGTACAAAGTTACCTATATAAAAAATTGCAAATGCACTTTCCGTGTAAATAATTGTACGTGATTGTATCGAAAAAAATCCTATTTGATTCAGGGCCTCTCGTTATTTGTAAATATGAAATTTTGAGTTTTCGAAATCTGTAATTTTTTAATCTTATAAGATAGTATTTGTATGTAGTTATTTATCTATTTAATCATTGATTTATTTATTCATTCCATTATATATATATATTTTTTTTTCGGAAAGTACAGAAAACTTTATGTAAAAATAGTAACTCATGGGAGTAGAATCTGCCCATTAAGGAATCAGAATAAAATTGAACAAAAATAATTAATTGATACAAAATTCCACAAGGAAGCCGATGAGTATTCAATTGTTCCCTTACAGAAGTTTCAATAAATCAGTCTTTGGTGTAATTTTTACCCATTGATAATAAAAAAAATGCCATGCTCATCAATACCTATCCCACTTTTGTAATTTTTGGATAAAACAAGAATGTAACATACAGTTTTTTTATATGGAAGACCTTGAAACCTGCGAACTCGATTTTTAGATATGAAGGAATTCGAGGTCAAAATTTCTTTGTTGGAAAATAGCAAATTTTTTTACGCCAAAAAAAAACATTTTAATTTTTTTCCCCGTAGGTATTGTACTTGGAGAATGACGTTGGAAATTAATTAAGGATATCCAAGTACTTTGGCTATTTTTTCTCCAGTGAAATGCTTTTCTACTTTTGTAGTCGAACATCAGAGCTTTCATTTGAGCCCCATTTGACCCCAAGTTTCCGGCCATTTTACAATGATTTTATTATTTAAACTTTGCAGGTCTGAATTTGAATCTCCATATTTAACCGTTAGGAAACATTTTAAAAATCTGAAAAAAGAATTAGAAAGTTTACTTTTGGAGGAAGATTGATGAAATAATTTAAAAATTGCATTTTTTAAAAATTACGAGCCTTTTCTATAAATAATTTATAAACAATCAATTTCCCACCATAAAAATTATTTGTTCGGAATCGTAACAAATTTATTCAGATTCAGCATTTTACCAGAAATCGATTTCATGCCAAAAAAAAGGTTTCCGAAAGATTAAACAATTTCAATGATTTATTTATAAACAACGAATGTTTAAAAAAATAATAATTCTGTGCAAAATGTAATTTGAATGACGCTGAATATTGATGTTTCTTTTCAAATTTTTCTCACGTAATTTAATTGACAAATTTGATGATTGAAAATTGTTGAATCTATAGTGCGATCTGTGCCAAATTGTAAAAGATACTTGGATATCCTTGAAGGAAGAAATTACTTTCATAATATAAACCGACTGTAATGGTTAGGTGGGTGAGGTGTTGCTCCGGCGGACATCCAAGCTAAGCAGCGTTGAGCTGGGTTAGTACTTGGATGGGTGACTGCTTAGGAATACCTCGCTCGCACAAAAATTACGGGCGGTAGGCACGGTGGCGCGGCCTAGTGTCTCCATATAGTCAGTGTGACAGATGGGTACATTAGGGCACTGTACAATCGGCCGGCTGTGCGACTGGGGTTTTACATGGTTTCCCGTGCAGTCCTAGCTCGAATGGGGCACAGCTAAGAGGAAGACGGCCATGATACCGCAGATAATAATGAGAGGAAAAGTAAAGGAGGGGAGGCAGGCTAGAGGAGGGGTTTCAAATCGAACTACTTCGATAAAACCAATGAAATGGAAAAATAAAAAAATAAAAAATAAAATACTTTCATAATATACCCTGGTAATTGAATATAAGGTATCAAAATTTTGAACAAACTCCATTTCTATACCCCTGACAAGTGCAGATTTTTTTTTTAATGATTGAAATTTTGAGGCTAAACGAGCAGTAGATGATTGGTGAAATGTGTTATATAGATTATGAATTCTATCATAGTTGCTCCATCTTCATTGTTTCTCAGCTAATAAACAATGACAATAATTAATGAACATTTATAAATAAAATTAGATAAAATGTGCTGAAGTAGTTGCCCATCATTTTTTACCGATTTATTCAAGACAATTTTTAAACGTAAACAGACATTATCTATAATGATCTGTAATGACAACTATTACTCGTCATCTTGGCCATGCGGGTCAATTGAGACAATTAATAATGCCATTTTCATTGAAAAGGAGGAGCAGGGGGAAAATAGATTGATCCGAAGGGCTTACCAGAGTTTGTCAGGGCTTCAGGATGAATTAGAATCAGGGAAGGATTTATTCAGGATGTACAGGGTGAAAAGAGGAGGAAAAAATAATTTGAGGAGGTAATAGGAGGAAATAAGGTTCATATATTCGACTCGGGTAAACACGTGGGTAAGAGTCCTTTACTTCCCGTGGTTAGAACGGTATTTTTCGCCGCGGCGTACACTATTAGAAAAAAAAAAAATATTTCATGGACGGTTGACTACCAATTTTGAGAACAGTGACACTGGATGCCAATTCAGTAAAATTCCAGAATTTTAAACAGTATAAAGACGAGAATTCCTTAATGTATTTGAATTTCCAATTTAATATGAATATTTAATGCCAAATTACACCGACGTCGGTGGCCGAGTGGATTAGACGCAAGTCTAGTGTGCGAAAGGTTGTGAGTTCGATTCCCCGTGGAACCGAATTTTTCAACGGAAGGCTCCGGCGAGCCGGAGGTTGCTAATAGAGGAACCGCCTGTACCGGAATGGGTTTTCTGTGGTTTCCCCGTGCTACTTCTATGTTCTATAGAAGTGTGAATGCGGTACAGTATAGAATCCACAGCCGCATGCATAGGGTTGGATAGAGTGCCGAATGGGACCCGAAAAGAGGACTCCGAGGCCGTAAAAAAAAAAAAAAAAAGCCAAATTACATTGAATTTTCAGTAATAATACCCCAAGAGCTTCAAAATTATCGGGTATTTCCCGATAGCTTCGTTGCAAACAAATGAGGGTGTCAAGTTTTGCAGGTTAAAAAATCCCGAGCGCTTGCGCGATGGAGTTTTCTGCAAAACTTGGCACGATGGTTTGTTTGCAGGGGAGCTTGAGGGAAATACCCGATCAATTTTGAATTTCGAGGGGTATTTGTCGGATTATTTTTCCCAATCGGATTTTGGCCAAGCAGAGTGCAGTGGATAACATCAGGAGGTGAAATGGGAAAGATTTGAACAAATTATGTTAATAGGATAACCCGATTTCCATAGACTGTCAAATATAAGATTCTATCCGAAATGAGCCGAAAAAATGAAGAGTTACTGCGAAATATTCAGGTAAAAAAAAACGAAGAACTACTGCGAAATATTCAAAAGCTAGGAAAAAATATCCGAAATAAAACTGTCGGGTAGCCTCGAATACTGTGCTCTGATTGGTCGAAATCCCATTGGGAAAAATAATCATTGAAATCTGAAATTTCATTATTTTTTCCCCCTAAATCGCATTCAGTGTAACTGTCCGGAAAATTCAAGAATATATTTACCGAAATTTTCTGGGTTTCTATTCATTTTCAGGGAGAAATGGAGCTGCAATTTACCAGGTTTCTGTAATTTTTCCACAAAATTCTAAATTTTTAATGACGAAGTTTCTTCATATTTCAGTGGTGATTAAATTCGAAAAAAATGCAAAAAAACTGTACCGGAAATTTTAGCCTACAATTTTGAACAGTGTAGCGGAGCGGGAGGGAAATGCTTTGCGCCCGCCGAGGCGAAAAAGTATAAGGCGAGCATTATAATCGCATAAGTCAGGTAATTTTGGAGCCAAACAAACATGTGCAGAGTATTTTTCTAGATTTCAGCAGTTGTACTAAACAGCTTGAAGGCACCACACGGAAATTTTGGCCTCTGATGAGTTGACGTCACAGGCCTTTTTAGAACTTTAAAAAAATGCAATTTTTAAAGCAAATAAATAATTATTCAATTATTTTCCGTATGTTTCCCTATCAAATATGGGTTCCTGGGAGCATATATTTGAGGAAAAAAAAATAAAAAAACGTGCAAGTTCCCGATTTTGATTTTTAGTGGTTTTTTGACAATTTGGGCTAAAAAATATTCTGAACTGACGTAATTTTTCTTGCAGAAGGTGTATTCATCAATGTGTCACATGTGGTACGAATTTTCGCAATATTGACTGCACTTTTACGTTGATGACGCGGATTTTTTGACATTTACCATAAGAACACTGTTTGAATTGTATTTTTAAAAATAATTCATTTTATTTGAACCATTCTCTGCAGCAATTTGGAACTCCGCACGAATTGGCTGAATTTTTTAACCTCGCCAGTTTACCATTAACGGATCTTATTTTTTAATTCCTCCACTAATTCCATCATTTGAATGAGGAGAAAACTCCTTTCTAATAAATAAGTTGAAATATAAGCGTGTTCGGTCTGATAATCCCAAATCAATTAGTAATTGCAGACTCTTATTGTTTCCAGCTTCTCCAGGCGATGTCGAGGCAATACTCAAGGTGAACATCAAAGGCTGTGGTTATCCACCAATTGTCGATTGTGAAAACTTTACACGTGAGCTTGGTTACGAGGGTGCCAAGTTTCCATGTTATTACAGTCGTGTTAACGGTAGCATAGTGATGGCAAACTATAATCGTCAAGCTCAGCTCGAAACAATACTGCACTTCCTTGCTGCGCCATTCGTTGTAACACTGGCGACGAGTGTGGCACTATGTGTTATGCACTGTGACTGCAGATGTGTAGCACCACCACCTCATCATTCCCGGGGAATGAGAAGAACCAGGATGAACGATTTAAGGTAAACAAACCTAAACAAACAAAAATACATACGCCAGTACCAGTGCATGTCAGCTGAAGGTGCATCGACGTGACTTGTCGATATCAGATAATCCTCAGCTTCTTCCTTAGCAATTGCTTTAAAGCCATATCACATTGTGAGCTCTACCCGGCTTTTTAGACGGCTGCTATCATTTCTTCGCCGTGTTGATTATTTAGTTATACAAATGTATGTTTATACTGTATTCTATGCCCAGAAAGATGATTCATTTTTTTCCATTTTTTTTTCAACGTAAAAAAAATGAATTGAGAAGTCGCACGGGAAAAATTTCATTGAATAACTTAGCGAGTTCGGTAGAGAATTGACATTCTATCGAATTTCTATTGAAAATTCAATTAGTTTTTGGCTCATTCTATTGGCGAATTTCGCAGCATTACTGCGAATTTCTTTTCCTTTCCTTCACTGAGAGAAAAGATTATTTTTGCCAAATATTCATTTACTTGAGAGAAGCATTTATTTTCTTCAAATCATATTTCTCTAATTCAGTCATTCCCACGCGAGTTTGATTAGGTTTCAATTATCACAATCATGCTGCTCTAGAGGATAACTATGTTGCACATGATCTTGGTTGAACTTCTCCAATGATTATTCATTTTTGCTTTTGAATGGAAGCATTGCTATCCTTCGATTTTCACATTGTCTAATTTTGATTGGAAATTCTGTAGAATGGTCTGAAACGTAAAAATACGAAGTTTGGCGACCTTTTCGGTAGTCAATTTTTAGAAAATTGAATAATTAAGTGGCTAAAGTAATTCCAAACAATCTGAAGTTTTGTTAGATTATAGGTCCTAATGAGCACTAGCTCTGTGCAAAATTTCAGCGCGATCGATCGAATAATTTTTGAGAAAAAGCGATTCATTTTTAAATCGTTTTCCGCAAATATCCTCAAAACTAGTGGGCCGATTTCAATTTTTTCTTCTAAATATTCGTTTCAATGCCTTCTACCTAAATCAATCAAGATATATATACCTGCTCATACAAAGTTTTAGAGATATTCCCGTTTTTTCATTAAAAAAAACTTTGTACACACTCTAGCTTGTGCAAAAATCGAGATATCAACTTGAAATTTGGACAGAAAATATGTGTCCCCGCTCATACGAAGTATTCAAAACATGGGAATTTTTATAGCACCCATGGAGGTGGCAGTAACCATCTGAAATTTTGCTGTTAGTTAGTGTTGTGAATCTATAAACTTTTGTAATATTTCAGTCCATTCGGAAGCCCGACATCAATGTATTGGCAAATAAAAAAATAAGACATCGCTCATAGTGACTTGCTCACTGTCACATGGCGCGCTGTCATATGCTCGTTGTCCTCTGCTTGTTTCCAAACGTCTTATATTCTAGAGGGAAGAATTTCGATCAATTTTTTAATGTTGATACTTATTGAGGGAGTTCACTCAAGGTCATTGCTAACATGATCGTCTTTGACTGCAATATAATTGACATAATTGAAACCTAATGAAGATTGCCTAGGAATGACTTGACTGGAGAAATACGGAATTAAAAAAATGAATATTTCTCTCAAGTAAATGGATATTTGGCAAAAATAAATTTTTTTCTCGGTGTTTTTAAAAACAAACGAGTGGAGAAAGTAAGGCGATTTTCATGAGTACAAATCGCTTTGCGTCGAATTTTCATGAAGCCCGCCTAACAAACAAACGAGAATTGACTACCATTCTATGAAACATGAATAAACGAATCATAATTGTTCAAATCATTTAGATGAGAGGAAAATGGAATTGCTTAAACATGGGGATTTTCAGTGGGTCGAGTTTTCAGAAGATTTTAATAATCCATTGGTATAAGTCTGCACCGAAAAAAAGATGTTAATGTGATCCATATATTTGTAAGTAGGAATACAATTTTTTATGGATTTTTCATTTACGAAGTTTTTATGTGAAAAGAAACAATCAAAAACGGTGGGTATTCCCGCATTATGCGACCACTTAAGGATTAATGTTGCGTTTACTAAGATTTTCTTCGCACGAAGTTGATTAGAATTAATAGCTAGAATTATGACATTATCTCACATTTTTGGCGTTAAGGATAGGAGACGCTGAATGCGATATAGTGAAAATGATGATCGATTTTTTCACTTTAATCAAATAATATTAATGTTCCAATACAAAATTTCTAATATGAATAAAAAGAAGCTGTGACTCAATATTCCAAATTGAGTTTTCATTTTTAATTTGGTGCTGACAACACGAGCCGACGATACGCTAAGCGCGGAATTATATTGATGAGATAAACAACAGTATCTCATCAATATACTTGAAACAAACAGATTAATTGAATTATCGTGTGAGTCAACTAAAAATTGATGACAGTGTGGGCACGCACTTTTACCCGAGTATCGACAAACATTGAATTCTAGAAATTCACACTCTAAAGTGCGTTCCAGGAGGAATTGAATTGTAATTATGATTAAAATCTTTTTCAGTTCGTATAAGAATTAGAACATGGTCATACGTGTGAAATAATTCAATAGAAAACTTAGCAAATTTGTTAGAAAATTTTATTGAAATTCTCCAGGAATTCTACGGGGATTCGAGACAATGAAATGGAAAACTCCGCGCCAAGCACTTTGAATCCTGTCTCTACTGAATTTTTTATTTTATAAAGATTTTTTTTTAAATCCTTCTATTCAGAGTTATCCTCCCCATAATAATCTGATAGCACATTCCATGATTCATTGGACATTTCTTGACTTGGCTTTGATTTTTATTTGTTTATTTTTTGCAAAATTTCTATGGGAATTGTGGTTTCCAGAAAAAAATGTTTCTTCTTTCCAGAAACGACCCCACAAAACTTTTTCTTGGTGCAGTTTTTTTGCAAAAACATTTGTTTTTGTTTTTTTGGGAGATTCCAGTCATTTTTCGAAAACGAGCACACGATCATTTTCGTATGAATCGAATTAATTTTTTTCCGCGCAACAGAAACTATCTTCAATCACTTCTGCTCTAAGAATAAAAGGTATTTTTTTCCTACATTTATTTATAATTCATGCTCCGATTCGATTTGAGAATTTCATGAGAAAATCAAACGTTCCAATTACCCGCGTAAAATAACCTCAGAAATAAACTCGCCCACATGTTATTCACGGAATGAGTTGAAAATCTAAATTAATCGAGGATAGGGGAAAAATTTCTATGCAATATACAGCGCTATATGACCTTGTTCATCAATTTTTCATTAATTTTTACAATAAGTCCATGATGAGTTTAAAAAATGCAAATCAGTAGAATTCAAGAACGAGAGAGAAAGAGTAATGCGCTATTCAAATCTCCCTCCTCTGCGCGTGAGGTTGGAGCACACTGCTACCAACTTCGAAAACGAAATCTCACACTTAGTGCTCAGAGATAATGTGAAATGCGAGAATGTGGATATGATCCCGTTGCTATGCGCGTAATTTCCTTAATATTAAGTCGAAAAAGAAAATAGTGATATCAATGGAAAGCTCGTGGCCGATTTATGCCATGTAACTAAGGCTATTTTTTTCGTAGGGTATCACGTTTTTAGTTTATTCAATAAATGTGTTTCGGAGGTAGTGGAGGGGGTAGTTGCTTCGTGTATAGATACCCGGTAGCAAGCGGCGAGTTTCAAAACTTTTCTTGGCCGATACGCTACCGCGTATCTCGATAATTCTCGTTGAAATTCTATTTGTTCTTTGCGTAGATTTTATTCGATAGAAAAAAGTTGATAGATTTCGATTTTTCAATTTTTCTCTTGAGATTTTTTCTATTAAAACTATTGAGCACAGATTTTTGAAGTTTTTTCCCTTATATTTTGTTTCGTTTTGCATTGCAGGAACCGAGTGAAAAAAAATTGGAAAATTAATGCCCAAGTATTTTTATGAAAAAAATTCCTAGAGAATATTCATATAGAAAAGGCAAAATCTATTGACTTTTCCCTATCAAATATCTCATAGAATTAGCCAAAAAAACAAATAGAATCTTCTAGCGAATTCGATAAGTTTTTCTATTGAATTTTTTCATACGTGCAAATCATTTACTGTAATATGAAAATGTAACAGCTAATAAATGGGGACATATGATTCTCATCGGTTGTATTGCGTTTTGCAATGAGAATGATGATAAACAATTAATTGAAAGAAGGAATGAAACGGCGTTAACATTCACGCTAGTACTAGAAAATTTCAAATAAAAACTATTTGATAGGAAAAGTCAGCAGGATTTGATATAAATTTTTCTATAGGAATTACTTGACATAAATTTTCCAATGTGTTTCGACACTACTTTCACCCTCTTTTCATAAAAAAAAATCGAGCAAAAAATTTAGAAAGTTTGAGTCAAAGCATTTTGATAGAAGATATCTCAGTAGAATAAGTTTTACAGAAAAATCGACTCCTATTGATTTTTGCTGTGGGATATTCTTCAGTAAACATTTCTACGGAAAAAAATCGCTCTGATTAACTACGAAATTTCTCAATAGAATCAGCCATACTTGATAGAAAATTCTATACAAATCCTACAAAATTCCCTACCGTACTCGCTGGATTTTTCTATGAAATTTTTCCGTATGTGAGAAAAACTTTTTTACAAGTAAACCATTCGATTTCAATAAATTAATTATCTCTCTGGGTTCAAGTTGAAGAACTTGATAACTGTGATATTATGGGATAAATATTGTTAAGAGAACCTTTCAACATCTTCTTTTGAAAATGAAAATAAAAAATAGTAATTGCGTTTAATAAAGCAAGTTTTAATTGAAATTCCACTCTAGTTTTTTTATGCTCCAACTTCTCCCGGAGTAGCACTCACCTCAACACTTTATTGAGTTATAAACGTAAAAGGAAGAAAATAAGAAAATGGGAGAGACAACGGACCAAGGAACATTAGGATATGGGTGTAAAACGGATCCTCGCTTCGCAACTCCACATAGGGTTTATTCATTTTATTTTGCATGTTGGCACTGGTGCCGTTCACAGGGAAGTAA